CTGTGTGAGTGAGAGAGGAAAGATTTATGTATAACATAGAAGATGGTTTTTACTAGTTAGGTGGGACTCCTTTTTATGTTTTAGCTTTGGAGCTTAGGTCTTTGTTTCAGAGCAGATGTTGGAGTGCAAGCTCCTTGCTGGAGCAGGAGAGGATCAGAACCAGATCTCATCCTCGTAGCTACCCAAGGGGTTTGTACATTATTGTTCTCAAATTGTTAATACAGCTGGCTGCTTGTACTCTGCCTTGTCCTTATGGAGATGGATGCTCTTCATGGCTAGCTGCACATTGAGCGTACTTATTACATAACACTGATGGCCACACAAATCATCTCCCATCTTTTATCTGGGATGAAAGGTGAACTGAACAATAATGCAAAAACTCGGACTGTGCCAGGATGTGTGCTCACTCTGGATATAGCGTTTACCCTGCATCCCTGACGACAGGAACTACCTGTTATCAATCTTTGTAGTCCCAACACGCAGTAATGGCTGGCATGTTGTGCGTGCTTAGTGACCACTTGTTGATTTTAGGAGAAAGGAATAAATTGTGAAAGATTGATACTGTATTGATCTAGGAAATAAAATGTGCTTTTCTGTATTATTACAGCTGGTAATGCCGCTGTCATCAAATATGAGGAAAAACCTCCAAAACCAGCATTTCAAAATGGTTCCTCAGGATCCTTATATTTGAAGCCTTTGGCACCCAGAGTTCATGCACACTTACTGAAAACTCCTCCAAAAGGTATGATCCTCATGGAGAAAAGAAGGAAGACAAGATGTTTTAAGTCCTTGGCTTGTAGAAAGTTAAATTTTGACAATTAAGTTTATGGTATATTGAACAAGTATTTATAAAAAGTCTGTCAAATAAAGAGATAGAATGCATTTTTACACCGAGGGAGCTAGTCTCGTTCTGAGGGTCAGTAGGTTTTGTAGTTAAAACCTAACACGTATAAACCGGCAGGTAGATCAAAGGTATTAGGTGAAAAAAAGATGTCGAGACTTAAAATATTCTTAGTGATCTAGAGTAATGAGATACAAAGGCATAGTTTACGTCTCACCTTTGGTCTAAACTGTTTTTTGTTTTTTTTTCTATTTTATTTTCTGTTCTTTGTCTTTTCTCCTTCTCAGTTTTACCACTTTATAATCGCTGTGACTATGAAGAATAACTTTCAGGTTTACACGATATGTGGTATATACTTAATATGGAATGTTTTCTTGTAGCTTATGACAGTGGGTCTGAAGCACATTAGAAGTTTCATTTTGTGCTTAGAGAATTGAAAGATTGCTTAACTGACGGAATAATTGTGAATGAGAAACTTGACCTAGACTGTGTTACGCATATTTATATTAGAGAATTTGAAAAGCGGAGTTCTCCTTTAGCCCATCATTCACAAATGACTGTCATATTTCTTCCATTTTTCTCCCCTGCATATATAACGGTTTTGTTTCGACAAAACTTGGCGCATAGTATGTCCATGTTTCTGTGTCTTGTTTTCATTAATTTAGTAGTATTTCATGAGACCTTTTTCATTTTATTTCATCTTATTTTTATTTTTATTTATTTTTATTTTTTATTAAGTTCATTGGGGTAATATTGGTTAATACAATTATATAATTTTCAGGTGTACATTATAATTTGACATCTATATATTCTATTGTGTGATTACCACCCAAAGTCTAGTTTCCTTCAGCTACCATATATTTACCTTTTTCATTTTAAATGGCTATGAAACAGTCCAGTTTTCTAGTGTCATGGTTCCTGGACAATTTCTGACTTTTACTATGTCATGTAATACTGAAATGAACATCTTTGAATGTGAACATTTCGGATTCTAACTACTTCCGTGGGCTACCCCTGAAAGAAGAATTACTGGGTTAAATTGTATGAATCTTTTTGAAATTGTTAGTATATGTTAATAACTTTCCAGAAAGGTGTTAGTGATGAGAAATTATGTGAGAGTATCTGCTGCTTTGCATCCTCCTCTGAGAGTGTGTGTGTGTGTGTGTGTGTGTGTGAATGTGTGTGTAGTATCTCGTGATAACTTGAAGTTAATTACCTAGTCAATGTTTATAAACACTTTTGCCTTTCTACTAAGTTGAAGAGAAAATAGGCATAAATATTGGAAAAAGATTCTTTAGCGCGCCCTCTGGTTCTCGTCTGTCCAGGGTCTTAAATTTCTGACACATCAATTGACCCCTGGTTGAGATGACATTAGTATGTGAATCTGTGGTTTTTATTGATGATAAAGCCTCATATCTACACATACACCAATAACTCAAAAGAAATGTCTGGCTTGGATACTTTTAGAGAATTAGAACTTTGTGATTACACTGATAATTTTATAGAACTGGGAACTCCAGTACGTCTTGCTGTTGAATTCGTAAGCTTTTGTATCACAGAGGTTTTACTTGAGTGGGAATCAATGCTTTCCATTTATAACAGCCACATATTTTAAGAGATTATCATTTCTGTAAAATTCCACAGATAGAATGTGGCAGCTGTTCCAACTAGTAATCTGCAGATAATTATGCCCTAGAAATGACTATGTCATGTCAAGTGGAAACACTCATAGTTTTCTAGTGACTTACGTTTGTAGTTGTCCCTATTAACCAATCCTAGTCATATTTATTTTTCAGCTTTATTGATGTATAATTGACAAATAAAAATGTAATATATTTGATGATTTGATGGACATATACATTGTGAAAGAATTCCCCTGGTTGTTTGGAGGGAAAATTTAAGTGTACTTTCCTTCATAGCTCTAAAGCAAGTGAACTGGATTTAATACTTGGCATTTTTAGAAACCACACACTGGTGGCCGTCTTTCATAAGTCTGCCCCTTTTTTGCTCTGACAGCAATGGAACAGCATAAAGTATGTAAAGAATAAATTCGGTTAAGTTAAAATTTGAATTTCAACTGTTCTTGACTGAAAAAGTACTATAGTTTTTCCTACCATATTTAATTTGTGACGATGAATTCGTGTCACCCTTAAACTCCCATTTTGATGTTATTTGAGATGTTATTTTATACTTAGACAACACTTGATAAAGTTAATTGTATCTCAGTGGTATTGCTAATCTGGAACCTAAAATTTAGATATTAATGGATTGTTTTTGAAACTAAAACCCTTATTTTTATAATTTATGTGACATTTTATATAAAACGTGTATTTCACAAATATTTCTTTTATATTTTAGGTCCTTCAAGAAAAAATCTATTTACAACTTCTAATGCAGGTAAGTGACCACTATAAATATGGATAGAGAAATAGAATCTTTTTTGTAAAGTTGTGTTATCATTACAAGTATTTAAATTTATTTACAGTGTTTTTTCACTAGTATGCTTATAAATAGAATTTCAGGTTTGTGACATAAACATAACTGCTTATGACCTGAGCCAGCACAGGGTTAAATATTGGTGAGCATGATTGACAAGCCTTCTGACACAAAAGGACATTTTATTAATAACAGGTAATTTTAGTTTTGGTTTTTTTTTTATGATTTTTTAATGTGGTCTAAATGAAGTAGATGATATATGCTTATTCCAAAATAAATGCTATTTTAAAATTGGATAGTCTTTAATTGCTAAATAATCTCAAGACCTTTTAACAGTTCAGCAGCTTAACTTTTTTTATATTTCTATTGAACAAACTCACATCTACAAGACAGCCAACAGCCTCACACATTTGAATCACAGCTGAGAATCATAAAACTTTCTCTTGAGAAGCCAGCCATGGAAGGTTTTACAAAATGTATTCACCATAGTTCCTGTATTTCATCTATAGCTGCTCAGGTCCCCATACACTGTTTACGTTCTCTTATTTAATATGGAGTTCTAAGACCACTAATATGGCTAAGTCCGTTGAAGATTAGAACAGCAGATCACAAGAGAGAAGGGTATTAGAACACTGACTACAGTTGATCACACATAGTGATGGTGTGGAGGCTCAGGATACAATGGTGAACAAAAATGAACAAGAGCCTTGACTTTAGGAAGCTTACAGAAAAGTCAAAGAATTGCACAGATAAACATAAAATCACAATTTCAGTAAGTTTTAGGGAGAGTTACATGTTTCTATGATAGGCCCAGTTAAAGGATGTGATCTAGTGAGGGAAACCTGAGCAGGAGGTATAGATTTCTGACCACCACCTCACCCCCTCCTATATATAGGTAGTAATTAAATAAAACAGTGGATAATGTTACATAGGGAATAATTAATATCCTCCATGCTCCCAAGATGTGTTCCCAAGATGTGTCCTCTATAAGGCACAGAGTGTGAGGGAATTATATCACAATTGTCAACCTTTTGTAAGTTCTTAAAGCTAGAGAATACTCAGCCACGCAGAGTGATTTAAATTCTAAAGATCCTCAATAGCTTGAGTTTGAGCTTAAAGCTTTTCTAATTTAGAAAAAAAAACAAAAAAACAAAAGAAACTATTCTGCATACATTGATATTTTTATGTTCTTTTCTTTTAAATTTCTAGCACATCCTGACATTTAGGAGAAAAAGAGCTAATATGCTATAGAATTACTGTTTATGTTAGAAAATCAGATAACCTTTATCAAAAAGCTAGATGGTATGATAATGCTGTATTTGCTACACTAAATTGAGAAACTTCCAGCATGTTTTCCAAAGTGGCTGTACCATTTTACATTGTCACCAGCAGTGTAGGAGGCGTACAGTTTCTCCACATCCTTGCCAACACTTTTGTCTGTCTTTTTTATCACAGCCATTGCACTGAGTATGAAGTGGTATCTCATTGTAGTTTTAATTTATATTTTCCTGATGGCTAATGATGTTGAACATCTTTTCATAAACCTATTGGCCATTCGTATCTCTTCTTTGGGGAAACATTCAAATCCTTTTGCCCATTTTAAAATTACTTGTATTATTGTTGAATTATAGATATTCTTTATATTCTGAATACTAGACCTTTACCACATAGATGATTTGCAAATATATTCTTCCATGCTGTGAGCTGTCTTTTCACTTTCTTGATAGTATCCTTTGAAGCACAAACATTTTTAATTTTGATGAGGTTCAGTTTATCTATTTTTTTTGTTGCCGTTGCTTGTGCTTTTGGTGTAACATCTAAGAAACCATTGCTTAATACAGGGCCATGAAGATTTATGCCTGTTTTCACCTCAGAGTTTTATAATTTTAGCTCTTACACTTAGGTCTTTTGAGTTAAGTTTGTATATGATGTGAAGTAAGGGTTCCAAATTCATTCTTTTGCATGTAGATATCTAGTTGTCCCAGCACCATTTGCTGAAAATAGTATTCTTTCCGTATTGAAATGTATTATCACCTTTGTTAAAAATAATTGGCTATAAATGTGAGGATGTATTTCTGGAGTCTTCAGTTCTTTTCCATAGATCTATATGTCTATTCTTGCTAATATCACACTGTCTTGTTTATTGTGGTGGAATAAGTTTTGAAATCAAGAAGTACGAGTTCTCTAACTTATTCTTTTTCAAGATTGCGTTGGCTATTCTGGGTCCTTTGAATTTCCATATAAATTTTAGGGCCAGCTTTTCAATTTCTATAAGGAAGTCAGATGGGATTTTGATAGAGAGTGCATTGAATCTGTAAATGAATTTCTGGTGTTTTGCCATCTTTACAATATTAAGTATTCTGACCCATGAATACGGGATGTTTTCCCTTTTATTTAGGTCTTCTTTAATTTCTTTCAACTTCGATTTTTGTAGTTTTCAAAATATAAGTTCCGTAGTTCTTTTGGTAAATAGTTGTGTGTGATTTTTCTATGCTTTGGAAAGTGCCACTTCTATTGGTCATAGTAAAGGAGTTGATTAAAAAAATCTTATATGCCTGTTTTAATCTGATTAAATATGAAGCTTGGAAAGGCAGTCTTTATGTCTCAAGTCTATGATTATGTAAACTACTAAGAAGGATATTTCTTCTAACAGGTATAGTAGATAATAATCCCCAATGTATATCTCTTTTCTGCTTATAGAGAAAAACTATTAGCATTAGGCATTTTCTCTGTCCCATTGTTAGACTGACATTATGACTTATTTCCAAAGCATATAATTGACCCTTTACAAGTAAGGTTATCAGAATGGAAAATTAACTCCTTATTAAGTGAGAAAAGAAATAGAAAGTATGAATTATGTTGTGGTTTTGTTGGCAAAGCATTTAACCATGGAGTAGAAATGGGGTATATAACAGAGTTCAAGATTGCCTGTCTCTAATTAACCCTGAGTAATCAAGGCTCTAATAATTTCAGTGGAAAAAGATATATTTTAAGAGGTCAACATTGCAATTTAAATCTAAGTTATGAACGTGTAGTTTCCAAAAATTATAAATATGACTTTTCCAGGTTTTTCTAGTTGATAAGTTAGTTATTATCATTATTTAAGACTAACTTTGTGTTATGAGCCTGCTGAGGAAAAGTCACATTATGTTGTTTTTTGGAGGGACAGATTTGATGCTAAAAAGTGGCATCCAAACAGCCAGTGACGTTGGGTGGATTGTGTAACCTCTCTGATATTAGTTTTCTATTCTGTATAGAAATGATTGATCACTACGGATTTTCCCTATTGTTATATTCTATGTCTGCAAAGCACCTAGACTTTTTTCATATGCTGCTTGCAAATGGTCATTTTTTAGATGATACAGAAGACGACATCATTGCCTCCACATACAAACATGTTCCTCTGAGCATTAAATTTTAAATAATTATATTATGGCTTTAAGATAGCTTTTTTTTTTTTTAAAGCGACAAACAGTAGTGATGATTATGTCAACCAACTTCATATCCTTTTATTTTAGTAAAATAGTCACTTAATTTTAATTGTAGCAGTTAGCTAAATTCTAAAAGTTTAGCATATTGAGGTTTAGAAATCAGCTTTTAGTTTTCTAAAATTCGTGATTTTAAATACAATTCAGAAACTTTACATCCTGTTTTGTCACTTAACATAGTCACTTTTAATGACTATTACATTTAGTATATACAGCAATGTTTAACTAATCATCTTGAATATTTGGGGCACTTTTGTATCATATCCATAAATGATTCTATGATTAACATCTTTATAGTTATCACTTTTAAAGCCTGGGAAGTTTCTAATAATAGAAACTTAAAAGTAGTATAAGTAAATAAAAACATATGCATATTCGTAGTTACTCAAACAACCAAATTGCTTTCCAAAAGCTTCATAACCATTTATACCATGATTGATAACATAAAAGAGTTCTGGTTTCACCATACTCTGGTCAACATCGAGTATTACTTTTTAAACTGTTGAATAATATAATCGTTGAATATATTTATAGCATTTAGTTTAGACGTTGATTATTTCTAAGACAATTCCATTATCTCATAAGAGTGGAAAGGGGCAGAAAGGGAATGAACTTTTGAGACGTTGAATACTAGATTGAATCCTGGTCTTGCCACATTCTACTTTTGCCCTGACCTTGGGCTAGTTGCTGAGCCTCTCCAAGTCTCAAATTTTTCATTTGGAATATGGGAATATTTGAGGACTAATTTCCAGTATAGGAGTAATTTTGACTTCACAGAATTGTATATAAAGCTCTCAAATGATGGCTCCTTCTACTGCTAGGGATGAGGATGGATGATGGTAATCCTTTACAAGTTGTTATGATTCTAGTGGCTAATTTTCAGAGTTCTTTTCTAGGAAGTTGAATTATTTTAAATCCTTAAAGCAGGCAGGAAAAACCAGTAAAAGTCAAGAACCATTCTCATGGGGTCTAGCTGTTGTAATTTATTTAAAGATTATGATGTTATACGACTCTAGCCAACATTGCCTTAAATAAAACTTGGTTTACTGTTTATAAGGAAGATGTCACACATGCCACATACTATTATTACCCTGGTTCTACCACACATTAAAGCTGTTTGGGATACCAAAGCACCAGAGTTGTATTTATCCAGCCCCCTGATTATTTTACGCAAGATCATCAGTCTCGGGTGCCATGGTGTCTGCCATGGAAAGTAGAAAATGCACTGCTTCTTCCATATCCATTTGCTAAATACAGCACAGGGGGATAAGGTTGCTTTCTGTGTGCCTCTTTTCCAAGTGTTAGAAAATGGTTGCAAGTTGCAATCCTGCTCTAACGAGGTAATACTGGTCTGGCCCAGGGTTCCTCTGGTGAGTAGGGAAAAGGCTATCTTTCAGTGTTGGTTTATGATTATAACTCTCCTCTCATACTTCAGAAGCAGATGCTATTTTAATATGTGATAAATTCAGTGTT